CCCTTTTATTCAGCACAGGACCCCAAGCCCATGAAATGATGTCATCCCTCCAAGGCACACCAAGATGTGTGTTTCCTAGGGAATTTTAAACTTCTTTGAATTGACAGTGAGGTACCCAAACCTGTTAATTTTAAATATTAATGTTTTACTCTTTTATCTTGAGATGGCTGTAAGGCATTGAGGACCAGAAGTAAAGCAATGCAATGGCACTGAGCAAACATTCCCATTCCAGAAGAGAGGAATAGGGATGTGTTAGCAAGGAAAGATTAGATGAAAGCCAGACTGAAACTGCAGTTGATGACACCATATGTGTCCAACAAGCTTGGTAGTTGTACCCCTCAGCTCTGATGCTTTGGCTGTATGTAGCTCTATCTTGAGTAAGTTTTACTCCATGTCTAAAGCTTTCCTTGGCTGATGTTTCTGGCATCTCCAATATACTTGAGGTCACCATTGCAAGTTGGCATCACCTCCATAACTTCATAAAATGGCTTCTTGGGGCCTTATTGCAGGAAATCTGACCCTGCCACACATTACCTGGTTTCATTGGCTTTCTGAAACCTTGGTGGAAGACTGTATGTACACCTCTCTAGAGTGTTTTCTGCATTTTATGGTAGAGCAGCAGTTCTCAGTCTGTAGGTTCTGACCCCTTTAGGGGTCACATATCAGATATCCTGCATATCTGATTTATAACCATAGCAAAATTACAGTTATGAAGTAGCATTGAAAATAATTTTATGGTTGGGGTCACCACAACATGAGGAACTGTATTAAAGGGTTGCAGCATTAGGAAGGTTGAGAACCACTGGTCTAGAAACTGCTTTTTGGGCATTATCCTTTCAAATAATGTTTTTCAACCTAGTTTTCAGTTTTATAGCCTGGAGCCTTTCCTAGGTAGGGTCTTTTCCTCGATACCATATAGAGTTTAAGATTTTCCTTAATTGCACAAATTTCATTACACTTCTAGCTCCTTTTCTTGTCAAACTGTGTGTTTATGTCCTTAACTTTTTAAGATTTTTTTATTATGTATACAGGGTTCTTCCTGCATGTATCCTACAGTACAGAAGAGGCACCAGATCTTATTACAGATGGTTGTGAGCCACCATATGGTTGCTGGGAATTGAACTCAGGACCTCTGGAATAGTAGCCAGTGTTCTTTACCTCTGAGCCATCTCTCCAGCCGCCTGTCCTTAAATTTTTTTGAGGCAGAATCTTACATAGCCAAGGCTGACTCTGAACTGCTGAGTCTCTTGGCTCTATCTCCCAAGCATTAGAATTATAAACATGAGCCACTATAGCCAGTTAAAACTTAAACCTGGTTGATGCTCTTTTCTTCACCAGACTGTACCCTTTCCATGTCTTATATGTTTTGTGCTTTCTCAATAGATTAATGCAATAAGTAATGACCATAGTAAGTAGTAAGTATACTACAGCCTAGAGGTTATGCTGACTTCAGATTTCCTCCAAGCAACTTAGCTCTTAACTTTTGAATTCAGCCTCACTCAAATGATCAGGTGGGCAGAAATGAGCCAGATTATTTTGCCAGAAGGTAAAACGGCCTTTAGTCCTTGTACCTAGCTGAGATCTTCTTGACCAGGACAGTATTGTTCACATTTTTGTCTGTAGTCTTTTATTCCACATTCCCACCAGAATATGCTGTTAAGCTTTACTTCAGCACTCAATCAAACCCTTCCAAATTCTTCCTGCAAACCACCTCCAGATGCCTACAGATTTGTGTGATCAGGTATTCACAGCAGTGGCTCCACTTCTGGGTATCAACTTTATTACTTTTCTCTTGTTGCTGTAACAATACCTGACATGAGGTTTATCTTGGAGATACAGTTCATCACAGTGGGCAAGGCATGGCAGTGGGGAAAATGAGGCTGGTCATATTGTGTCAGGGAAGTAAAGAATACTGATGTTCAACTTGTTTTTTCCTTTTGCCCTTTTTATTCAGCCCGAGACTCCAGCCTGTGTGATCATGGTGGTGATGTAAACCTATGTGAGAACTTCCTGAAGGAGAGCATTGTCCAGTCCTTTTGCAAAGGACACTATCTCTAGATAGGGAGAGACTCTCTGCTCCAGGTTTGGCCTTGAACTTGTAAAGTTCAGGGTTTGTGACTTGATCTTTTCAGGTCAGGACATCAATGCCAATTAAACCTACTGGTTGTTAACTATTTTCCAGCACTCCAGTACTTCCTAAACATTTTCTTCCCAAAGTGGGAGAGGGATGGAAAGAGAGTTAGAAGTTAGAGCCCTAGCATTTTAAAATGGGTACTAAGGCCAGTGATTGCTTAGTGGTCCATCCTCTAGATGCAGGCCTAGATGACATTTAGTTCTTTAGGACCCACACCCCACTTATGCAAAAGGACTGTCTGTTCAGGTTTCCTTTAGTTTTAGGGACAAGCGAGAATTCCCCCAGGACTTGCTGCCAGGTGTGTGTCACTGCTCATGGCACATACTGTGTTGCTGCTATACTACTAGACTTTGCTAGTACCCAAACCGTAGTTCCTTTCTGCCTTTGTAAGATGTGGATAATGCTTCCTGCCACTTGGGTTGTGGTGAGGACAATTAAATGAGGTCACCTTTGTATCTGGTACCTGGCATGGGGCAAAGCACTCAGCTAATATGAGTTCATCCTTCCTGTCTTCCCTGCATAGCTGCCTAGTCTTGCTTGTATCTTTGCTCTGCTGTACACATTGCCAGGCTCTGACCATCTCTGATGCTTAGAGGCAGAAATGACTTTCTCATCCAGTTATCAGGCATTTCTGGAGGTTTTGGGGTATTAATACTTAACTCAAGCGCCAGCCTTAATGTCAGAGTAAGGTCTCTTTCCGTTTCATAAAAGCAAGGGAGTGTTCATCTGTTTTGCAGTGCCACTCATATTGTGTGTAGTCATTGTCTATTTCTCTGCCCCTCCCCTAGTTTATCAAGACAGAGACAAATCTCTTTCATTTTTCAGTCCTCTCACTGTCCAGTTTATGGTGACTCATATTTTGGGAGATGATTAACTAGAAGCCCCATTTCTCCCCTCATCCTTTTTTCTATCTTCCTCCCATATTTGGGAGGATGCTGTTCTCCCTCTTAACTCTCCCCTTTATCAGGTGTGGAGTTAGAATTAGAAGTTCCTCTTCTGGAAACCCCTTGATGGTCTAGGCTTTGTGGTTCTGGGAAATGGCTGACAGTGTGAGCAAGGATGAACTTGGAGTAACTAGCTAGTGTACTAGTGCACAGACTCCAGGGTGGGAGGAGCACCTGGGCTACTGGAAGGTTGTGCATAAACAGGTGTGTTTGTGCTGCCCAGGGAAGCACATTAAAGGCTTTTATAGGTGCGTTTGTCATCTCTGCAAATGAAGCCACACCTTCCTGATGTGGTGGGACCTGAGGGTGAGGCTGGCTAGGTCTTCTCTTGTCCTTCTTCATTCTCTATCAAGCCACCACCTAAGACTTTCTGAGGGTATCTCTATTGTACATCATCTCTTTATGCTGGTCTCTTCTCTTTTATGTTTAGTAACCACTAAACCAGTATATGTTATTACAGAGCCTCTTTAGGTCCTGACTAAAGTCCTGAGTTCTTGACAGATGTGTCAAGTACATCAAATGCTTCCCATGTTTATAGCTGGTATGACAAGCTTAGGCAGCTTCCTACAACCAGGAAACAGTACAGTAATGAAGCTGGCTGGGTTGAAAACCAGGGCTTTTTTTACAGATCGCGTTCCAGGACAGCCAGGACCTCACAGAGAACCCTGTCTCCAACAATCAATAACAACAGAAGAAAACCAGGTCTTTAAACCTCCAGTTACTGTGCCCACTCTGCCAGAGAGCTCTCCTGTTTTTTTATGGGATGGAGTATACCCATTGCCTGTAGTGGGGTACAAAAATGGCCCTTTTAGCAGGGATCCTATAAGTTCCTCAGTAGGGTAATGCCCCCTAGGAATAGGCTTCACATTCTGTTGTACAGCCCTGTTGCTGGGTCAGGCTGTCTGCTTCTGGCAACCAGTAGAGGGCAGGAGGAGCCTGAGAAAGATCTGCTTCATTTTGAAATGGAAATGTCTTAAGCTGTCAAGGTCATTACTATTATTTTAATTTGGAGGTATGAGTTTGTATAGGTTCACTTAACCAAACCTTTGGGATCAAATGTAATTTGGAATTTAGAAACTATTCAGAATTTGGCAAAGTCTCCTGGTGTTTATACTTTGATTATATAATACTTTAGCAGAGGCTAGAGCAGTACCTCAGGATCACATGCCTGAATGTTTCTTTGTGACAGTGTTTCAGTCTTCACCCTCAAGTAGGCCATCTGGTTGTATGTCAGTTCTCTTCAGGTTATGATGGGACATTAGATTAAGACTTTGGGATTTCTGTATTGTTTGAAGTCCCTTGATGTTTAAAACATTTAGGGATTTGGAATTTTAGATGAAGAATAGTGAATCTTATTGGGAAAGGAGGTTAAGAAAAATCACCTATAGCATAGCATGAATACTTAGGATTATATTTTATTGTCTACTTTTTTCCATTATGTAGAGACTTGTGTAAATGTACATGTAAGTGTATTTAGACACACTTGATATCATAGTTGGCTCACTTTCTGCCTTACAAAATATATTTTAGAATTTCCCAGATGTTTATAGGCTTCTTTAGCATCTTCCCTGAGTGAACTTCTTGATAGAGAACCACATTCTTCATTTAAGGACTTAGGGGGTCCAGGCCTCTGGCTGCCTGGGCCAGGTCTTGCAATATCTAGAGCAGGGATCTGAAAGCAGATGAAGTTTCTATTTCTAGGGGATCTGGGACCTCTCTGGGATTAAGTCTTGTTCTTGTCCAGTGACTGAATCTCTTGCATTTTGGTTACAGAGTAGTCAAGAAGGGCTGTGAATTTCCCAGTATCCTTTTTTGCCAATCATCAGGCCTCTCAGGAATTGAGGACAGGATCCTGGGGAAGAGGTACAGGCTTCCCTGGGTATGGGTTTTCCCTGTTGCTGACCTCCCACTGTTTCCTCCAGCAGGAACACTGGTTTGAAAAGGCCTTACGGGACAAGAAAGGCTTCATCATCAAACAGATGAAGGAGGATGGTGCCTGTTTATTCCGGGCTGTAGGTGAGTCTCTGCCTTGTTCCTGCGGGCTGTGGGGCTTAAAGATACCTCTGAGCTGTGTCCCTGTTGTCAGCAGCCCCTGAGACAGAATTTCAGCAGAGTTAACTAGTTGGTATTTTAGGATAGCCAGGCATGAACCTAATGTTAGCGTTTGGCCTCTTGTCTTAGATTGTGTTGAGTGAATAATAACAGCAATAGTAGTGATAAAGTGACATCACTTAGAGACTTAACACTACTGGAAACCCATCCATCCATCTATCCATGTTTTTGTTTGTTTTTGAGACAGGGTTCTCTGCATGTAGTCTTGGCTGCCCTGTAAATCATACTAGCCTTGAACCTAGAGATCAGCCTACCTCTGCCTCCCAAGTGCTGGGATTAAAGGGTTGAGCAGTCACCACCTGGCATGGAAACCCCAGCACCCCCCGCCCCTTTTCTTTGTTTTTCAGGATAGGGTTTCTCTGTGTAGCTCTGGAGCCTGCCATGGAACTCAACTCTGTAGACCAAGTTGGCCTCGAACTCAGAGATCCAACTGTCTCTGCCTTCCGAGTGCTGGGATTAAAGGTGTGCACCACCGCCTGGCCTGGAAACCCTTTTATTATCCCACAGTGTAGGTGAATGTGGGGACTGATGTTGCTTCTACTTGTCAGATGAGAAAGGTGTCTCAGAAGTGGGAAGTGGCTTGCCTAGGGTTACACAAAAAGTATGTGGTAGTCAGGATTTTATATCTAGGTTAACCATATTACGTTGTCACTTTGGTATGTAAGAGTTTGTACCCAGAGTTTTCTGTGGTGTGGTGTGGTGTGTTGGGGAAGGTCTCTATTCTGTGTTTGTGCTTGTGCCTCTTTTGTGAAACTGGGCATGTTGAAGCACGCCCTTAATCCCAGCATGCAGGAGGCAGAGGCAGGTGGATCTCAGTGAGTTCAAGGTCAGCCTGGTCTATGTAGCGTGTTACAAGCCAGCCAAGTATATTTTGTCTTGTTTAAAAAAAAAAAACCTAGATCTTTATAGGTTTCTATATTAGGGTTTTTTTTTCTTTTACCTTGCACAAAAGTAGAGAAAATAGTGAGCCCTTTCAGACTCTTCATCTAGCTTCAAAAAGTCATTAACACAGCTGGGTGGGGGTTGCACAAACCTTTAATCTGGGAGGCAGACATGGGCAGATCTCCGTGAGTTCGAGGCCAGCCTGTCTACAGAGCAAGTTCCAGGACAGCGAGGACTGTTACACAGAGAAACCCTATCTCAAAAAAAGAAACCACACACACACACACACACTCATTAACACACAGATAGATAGCCTTACTTTATAACTACCCTGCCCACTCTTTTTCACTTCCCTGAAGCAGTGTTTTTACAGTACAACTTAACACAGGATCATTTCATTCATAAATATTTCTGTTGTTTTTTGGTTTTCGAGACAGGGTTTCTCTGTAGCTTTGGAGCCTGTCCTGGAACTCTGTAACCCAGGCTGTCCTCGAACTCACAGAGACCTGCCTACCTCTGCCTCCCAAGTGCTAGGATTAAAGGCGTGAGCCACCACCACCTGGCTTCTGTATGTTTCTTTAACAGATGTGTCTGTATTGGTTTCTGTACAGCTGTCAAAACTAGAAAAATTCTTTTTTTTTGAGACAGTCTCACTCTCTAGTCCAAGGTAACCTGAAACTTGGAATAATCCTGTTTCAGCCTCCTAAGAGCTAAGATTATAAGTGTGAGACACTATTTACAGCTAAGAATTAGTAATTTTTTTTCAAGATTTATTTGTTATGTATACAGTGTTCTACACGCATGTATACCTGCATGACAGAAGAGGGCACCAAATCCCATTATAGATGTTTGGTAAGTTACCATGTGGTTACTAGGAATTGAACTCAGGGCCTTAACCTCTGAGCTATCTCTCCAGCCACCAAGAATTAGTCATTTTTTGAGACTGGGTCTCTGTTAGTCCTGGCTGTTCGGTCTGTGTAGACCAGGTTGGACCCAAACTTTGAGATCCACCTGCTTCTGCCTCCCAAGTGCTGGGATTATAGACATGTACTACTGTGCCAGGGTGGAATTAATAATTTCTAAATATTGTCTACTAAGCCTGAGCTAGATCTTTGAGTCCCTTGTGGCTATGAATCTTTGTCCAAACGAGTAAATGTGAAATCTCATACCAACTTGAAGGGAGACAGGAGTGTGACCTGTTCTCTTCCCACACCAGAGGTTCTGTCTTCCAGGGAAAATTGCTGGGAAGCCAAAGATTTGACTTTTAGTTCTGGCCCAGTTTATAACTGCTGTGTGGCTCTTAGACTGTTTTCTGATCTGTGAAATGGTGGTGGTCCCAAGGACTCCTTGAGTTCTTTCTAGGTCTGTTTTTAGTTTCTGGATGACCCTCATGTCTGTTATAAGCTATACTGGATCAGGTACCACTCCTGGGCAAGTGATTCTTCTTTCTGGACCCTCTTTTATTAGCTGGAGAATTGATTAAAGGATTCTACTGTTCTGGCTTGATTTGCTTTGGTAAATCCCTTAATGCTTGATACATAATAAGTTTTTTTTTTTTTGGTTTTTCGAGACAGGGTTTCTCTGTAGCTTTGGAGCCTGTCCTGGAACTCCCTTTGTAGACCAGGCTGGTCTCGAACTCACAGAGATCCGCCTGTCTCTGCCTCCCGAGTGCTGGGATTAAAGGCGTGCGCCACCACTGCCCGACGATACATAATAAGTTATCATGGAACAGTAGCACTAGTATTCTCAGTTGTGCCCCAGAGCCAGAAATATTTGTGGGATGGATTGACAAATGGCTGCTCACCCTCTACCAAGCAGAGACTATTCAGAAAATGGTGTCTGTTAATTGAGAGGACAATCCTAACTTTTCCTACTCTCTAGTTTGAAGTCATCTTCTCCCTGGACTACTCACTAGAGAAAGAACTTGCTTTGGAGGTATCTTGGGGATAAAGGGAAGGCAGAGAATGAAAAGGTGAGGAGGACCTAGTAGTTTCTAGGCCCTGTATTAACCTCAGGCTAGATGGAGGAGAGGCAAGATTACTGTTGGGCATATGGGTTCATGCTCACTGAAGAAGCTTGGGGCTCTTGAGGACCTAGTATGAATAGTACCTCACATCAAGAGCAATTTTTGTATGTATGTGTCTGTTTATCTAGCTCCCCCTCTCCTCAATTGGGGCCTTCCAGTAAGGGGCCCAAGCACACAGGAAGAGCTGACCACAGCAGGTTAAAAGGCCTTTCCTTATCAGCACTATGGCTACACATTTCCCCTGACTGGGCTGCCCTCAGCTTTTCTCTGTAAAACCTCAAGTCCTATGGCCTCTCCCCTGAAGTACATGGTCCCTGGTCTCTAGGCCTCCTAGAGGTTTCCCTGGTGCAGAGTACACAATATGTGTGCCGGGGAAGGGGACTTTGTCCCCAGGCTTTCTGCTGTCCCCGTTTCTAGCCTAGCTTATACAGGGACAGATGGTCATCACCTTAGGCTTTGTACCAGGGCTTGCAGGCTTTAACTTCCTACCATGTATTAAATAGTGAAGGGAACATGTAATGTAGAGTTGGACTTGAGTGACTTGCCCACGTATATGGCACTTTGTTGTTGTTTCCCTGACCCTACTGTGTGCCATACATTCATCTGTGTGCTTCAGGCCCTCCTGAAAATTTTGGATCATTATCCCATGAAATAGAATCAGTTGAAGGTCTGAAAAGACGGCAGAAGGTATTAGCTCAGTAGTGGAGCTTTTGCCTAGCATTCAGGAGACCCTGGGTTTGATGCCCAGCACTACCAGGGATAGAAAGGGAAGTGACAATGGTAGAGTTTGCATGGAGGCATTTAGGTGTTCAAAGAATACACAGGAGGCCCCAGGGTGTTGATTGACCCTTTCACCTAAGACCATCAGAAAACACAGATATTTACAGTATAATTCATAACAGCAAAATTAGTTATGAAGTAGCAACAAAATAATTCTATGGTTAGGGAGCGGTCACCACAACATGAGGAACTGTGTTAAAGGGTCACAGCATTAGGAAGGTTGAGAACCACTGATCTAGCTTCTTAGTTTGTCTGTTCTTTGACATCTCTGGACTTTCCTTCTTCCAGCTAGAATTTATTCTTCCATTCTTTTTTTTTTTAAAGATTTTATTTATTTATTTATTATGTATACAACATTCTGCCTGCCTGAAGAGGGCGCCAGATCTCATTACAGATGGTTGTGAGCCACCATGTGGTTGCTGGGAATTGAACTCAGGACCTTCGGAAGAGCAGCCAGTGCTCTTAACCACTGAGCCATCTCTCCAGCCCTATTCTTCCATTCTTGAGAATCTTAGGCAGGTGGTTTTCTGCCCTTTGTTTTACCACTGACATTCTGACAACACTTTTGAACCAGTATCAATTGCTTGTACCCGTTTCTCCCTGGCACCTCTTCCTAGAGATTTATGAGCATCAGTGAACTCTTGGGTGGATGTGGGTATCCTATGATCCACCTTGCCCCTGCTGTGCTCAGATAACCTCCTCTTAGAAACTTAAGTCTCACTCCCTTTTCCTCCATTTGGGTTCGACTCAGCAGAAACATCTAGCCCTGGCCATGGCAGTGGTGCTGGCCTTTGGGCCAAGTAGAAGCCACATAGGGGTGTCTGCATGGACTTCAGGAGAGAGTAGCTAGAGCTTTGTGTTATAGCCCAGAAATATTATCCAGACCCATGTCTCTGGTTGTTCTGGACTTGGAACATGGATCATCAACATTGGGAAGGATGGCTGTTAGGTAATTTTTTTTTTAATTTTTTTTTTTTTTTTTTTTTTTTTTTTTTTTTTTTTTTTGGTTTTTCGAGACAGGGTTTCTCTGTGGTTTTGGAGCCTGTCCTGGAACTAGCTCTTGTAGACCAGGCTGGTCTCGATTTTTTTTAATTTTTGAGACAGGGTTTCTCTGTGGCTTTGGAGCCTGTCCTGGAACTAGCTCTGTAGACCAGGCTGGTCTCGAACTCACAGAGATCTGCCTGCCTCTGCCTCCCAAGTGCTGGGATTAAAGGCGTGCGCCACCACCGCCCGGCTTGTTAGGTAATTTTTTAAGATTTTGCTTTTTATTATTGTTTATTTTTTGGAGCAGGCCTAGCCCAGTCTAGCCTGGAACTTTCTTGGTTGACCAGGTGGCCTTGGGCCTTGAACTTGTGATGCTCTTTGTGTCTCAACCTCCTGAGTATTGGAATTGCAGACATATTGATGTCGTGGTTTGTAACTTAATTTTGACAGGTTTTTCTTTTTGTTTTTGTTTTTTTGAGACAGGGTTTTTCTTTGTAGCCCTGACTGTCCTGAATCTCACTCTGTAGACCAGGCTGGCCTCAAACTCAAGAGAGCCTTCTGACTCTGGCCTCCCCTGTGCTGGGATTAAAGGCATGTGCCACCACCTTTTGGCCTTAGATTTGACAACTTTATAAAATGAGTAACTAAGGCCTCACTATAAAGCCAGGACCCTGTCTTATGTAGGTCACTCAACCAATGTCAGAACAGCAGTGTTTGCGATTATATCAAGACACAGGAGATTTCTCTGTGCTATTTCCTGTACACCTGTCTCCATTGACCTCTCTCTGTTCAGCATCTTTGTGTTTTCCCATTTCCTCTTGGGAATCCTCAAGCAAAAAAGCATATACCTCAGATTGGATCTGAGGTCATGTGTCTTGTGCATAGTTTGTACCCAGTGGAACAGTTGGGAATGCAATACCATTGTTGGTTGATAGATGGGTAGGACCTTTTCCTCACTCCTTTTTCATCAGTGGGGCCAGGGCTCCCACAGGAGCAGAAGGACAGTGGAGATCTACTGTTGCTCCTTGCTGCTGTGTGTACCCATGTTTGTGTGGTTTGTTTTTAGGTTCTCCACAAAAACCAAGCTTCCTTTATTAAACATACCATATTGTGTGTGTGTGTGTGTATGTGTGTGTGTGTGTGTGTGTGTGTGTGTGTGTTTGTATACAACATAGTATGTTTACATGGTATGTGTGGGCAAATGCAGGTTGTTTTGTTTTTGTTTTTCAAGCATTTTAGGGATCCTGAAGAAAAAGGACTTCTGCAGGCAGTAGAGGAGAAGGATGAAAGAAGTTTGTTAGAGATGTTGGTCATTCCTCTCCCACCTATCCCTAGCAAAGGCTGGGAAGGAAGTGGCATGGCTTCCTGAGTATGCAGTCTCACATCTTGTTTAGGTTTCAGTTTTTCCTGATTGGTGACAAGAATATATATTCACAGTATGCTGTGGTTTTGTGTTGTGGAGTTGGTCATGTGGGTATTTAGTCTCAAAGATTTCAGTCTTTTGAAGGCCCTACAGGCTGCATGTGGGTACATATGTGTGCTTCTATGTGAGTATCTTTGTATGTTCAGAGAAAGCAAAGCAGTATGGTGTGTGGGGAGGAAGGTTCGTGTTGAATCTAGAGAAGTGTGGTGTGCGGTCCCTGATACTTGTTATCTCTGCTCAGTTACAGGCCTTTCCCTTGTTTCAAGTCATTCCTTGTGCTAGCAGGGAAACTGACGTCTAGGATCAGGCCTAGCCCTAGGAAAATAAGGTGGCTGTGAGACATGAGATGGAGTGGGGGAACGTCACTTGGGACCAGGTGTTGGTGCCTTTCCATCTTTGACACCAAATATGTGAGAAATATGTGATCCTGAACTAGCTATGCTATTTCTATATCAGTGCCTCCCCCATCTTGTGTAACTTTTGTTTTTTTTGTTTGTTTGTTTTGTTTTTTTGGTGAGGATCAAATGAGTTTGAAAAGTCTGTAATAGAACTAATTAATGATCTTACTGTACTGAGAACTTGTGAGTCCTGCGTAGAAAGGGGACAGAGGTAGAGTATAGTGGGGGACCCCCTTCCAGCTGGACCCTGGAAGAAGAAACCAGGTGCATATGGCCAAGTGCAGTGTTAGCAAGAGAAGTTTCAGTTTCTGTCAAAACAGTTTCTCTGAATTCCCCCTTTATTTGTGGTTCCAGTGGGCCACTCTTTCTCCTTCCTTGGTCCACCCCACATGCTAATCTGGGAGGAGGAGGAATTTTCCTAAGGACAGAATTGGTAGGACTAGGAAAATTAGAGAAGCTAATTCATGTTATGATATGCTTTGCCTATAACATCGAAGAAAAATTTTTCCTCTTGATGGGGAGGTACTGTGTCTATTTCCTTGGAATAGAGATGCATATTTTATTACATGTTAATAATTACAAAGTTAAGGTATACACTGGGTATGGTGTTATATACTTATAATCCCAGCACTTGGAGGCCAAAGAAGGAGGATTGTTGTAAGGTTGAGGCCAGCGAGGTTGTTCCTTACAAAAGCTGGGATGAGTCTATAAGTACTATAACTTGCCTGTACCTAAGGGCCCTACACATAAAGCGAGTATTGCTAGTTTGGTAGGAATTTGGTTGTCAAAGTTTTGAACAAAGGCACTGAATTCTGTAAAGAGAGCTAGCGGTGCTTGTAATTGAAGGGATACCCCTCCTTTTCTGCATTTGGGGCTTTCCTCTGGTGGAGGAAGTGCAACAGAAATGAGGAAGGGCTTAATAAGCAATTCTCTCAACACTCTCCCTGACTGGTGGATAGCTTGCAGTATAATAGGAGTTGCAATGGCTTGCCTGATTTTTTTTTTGTTTTTTTGAGACAGGGTCTCTACATAGATCTAGCTGTCCTGAAACTCATTTTGTAGACCAGGCTGGCCTGGAGCACCTGTTTTCTTGACCACTGCTTGTGTTACAGATAGTTGACAAACCTTCTCTTGTAGTCCCATCCCCATACTGGAGATTGAACCTAGCACCCATGTTCTCCCACAGAGATATATTCCCAGCCCTCTATAGTCTTTATAATACCATTTTAAGTGGAAGAAGAGTTACTGTCCCCACTTTATGAATTTCAACCCAGAAATGAAAGACCTTGTCCAGTGCCACACAGCTAAGAGGTGACATGAACTTTCTGCCAGAAAAAGACAAGATAAAAGACCCCGTCGTGTACCCCCCAAATCTGGCATCTAGCTCTGGCAAAGAGAGATCCCTTCTGTAGGAGATACATAGTCCCCGTTATCTCAGTTCAGCTCATGGAGCCTGGTAGCCCACCCCTATTTAACCCTTTCACTCCCATCTTAGTTCCTGTTTATGGCAGCTGCAGACTGTACTGCCTCCAAGCTCAGCCTACAGAAATAGCTCCTCCAGCAGCCCAAGCAGCCACAGCAGCCTCTGTGGTCCTGGCTTCTAAGAAAGGCAGCAGCAGCTCCCAACCCCCACCCCCAGCTTGTATGCAGGACATGTGACTTGCTGGAAGTGCTGGGGAGGGGAGTGTGGCCACAGAAGCCACATCCTTGTTTACATCAGTGAAGGGGCTACCCCTTCCTGCCTTCACAGACCCTTCTCCTCCACCCCTCAGGTATCTTCACCTCTAGGATGAGTTGAGGCTGTTGTAGCTGCCCACTTTTCTTTTTCAGTGCAGCCTTTGTTTCCGTACCATACAGAACCCTCATGGAGGGAATCAGAAGGCAGTGAAGACCTGCTGGCAAGTCTTCAGAGAAAAGACTGCCAGGCCTGACTGGTGGGCACGCTCCCATTTCTAGCATCCCTGAGCCCCAGGGGCATCCCATCAGTGTGGTGAACCTCTGGGGAAACACAGGGAAATTCCCTTTTTCAAGGCAGCTAGTGAAAGTCAGGCTTGCCTTATCTTCAGACCCACGTTATGGGAGAAGAGACTCCTGTTTCTGTGCTTCAGTCTATATGGCTGCTCAGCAGACTATATTCAATTTCTTTTGCTATACCAGGTCCTGAGCTGGCAGTGCACTTAGGTGTGAGCTGCCCTCTACTTTCAGTAGAGGCCTTGTGTAATCAGTCTGTGTACACCTTTGATGAATTGAATAATAGAGGGATTCTACCACTTTATACTTATTGTCCACTAGAGACCTGCCAGGTCATACCTGTCTGGTAGCCAGAGAGTCAAGCCAGAGAACTAACCTACTAGTTATTATTTGGCAGAGTAAGTATTTTTTCTTCCTTTTCTTCTGGTTAAGATTCTAATCGTAGCTGGGTGATAGTATTGTACACTTTTAATCCCAGCATTCAAAAGGCAGAGACAGGTGGATCTCTGTGAGTTCAAGTCCAGCCTGGTTTACAAAGAGTTCCAGGACAGCCAGGACTACAGATGGGGAAACCCTATCTTGAAAAACAAAACAAAAAGATTCTAATCATGGTGGAGCATGGTGGTTTTTATGCTTTTTGTGGTAGTGGTGGTAGGCATTGAATGTAGGGTTTGGTTTGGTTTGATTTGAAATGGAGTCTAGTGATCTAGGTTGTCTTTGACCTTGGCAATTCTCTTGACTCAGCCTTGTTTATAGGTGTGCACTAACCTCCTTTGTACTTGTAATTTACAAAGGCCAGTTTACTTTTTGAGGAAACCTCTAGTTTGACATTGTCACTTTAAAACCTTTTGTTACTATATTTTCATTTCTTGGTGGGTATGGAGATTGTGGTGGCATGCCACAGGGCATATGGTCATAGGACAATTTAAGGGAATTGGTTCTCTCCTTCAACTATGTGAGTCTCACGTGTCAGGACTTTATTCAGAGTCATCTTGCTGGCCATTGACTGTGCTATACTTATACATCCCTATACTCTCTCATTCTTCATGATTGTCTAACCTGGTTTCTTTTTTTTTCCTGAGACAGTCTCATGAATTTACATTGTAGATGAAGATAATCTGATCATCCCACTTCCATATCCTGAGGGCTGGGATGAAAGACGTGGCACCGCCACACCTGGTTTATGTGTGCAAGTTCAGCACATCTTCAGACCTTGCTTGCCATTTACCACCACCCCATTACAGCACACAAAAGACCTCTCCGGGCTTGGTGTAGAAAAGGGACTTTCCCTAGTCCCTCAGCCCGTCTTTCCACTAATGAATGATGTTCTGTGACTCAGAACTCTTGTGATGACAGCTGTAACTCCATCCTTTCCTTTCTTTTGTCCCCGCACCTCCAGCTGACCAGGTGTATGGAGACCAGGACATGCATGAGGTTGTACGAAAACATTGCATGGACTATCTGGTGAGATCCTGGGGAGGGCTTGGGACAGGAGGAGGGTAGGAGGATCTCCTTTGTATACAGACCTTAATTTTTAATTCCTTCTACAGATGAAGAATGCTGACTACTTCTCCAACTATGTCACAGAAGACTTCACAACCTATATCAATCGCAAGAGGAAAAACAACTGCCATGGTAACCACATTGAGATGCAGGCTATGGCAGAGATGTACAACCGTCCTGTGGAGGTGTATCAATACAGCACAGGTACTTCTGTAGTGGGTAGATGAGGGACTAATGGTGCTTCATCAGAGCCAACCATACTGGGTCTCCTGTGGATGCTCCCTCCTTCTCTTTCTCTGCAGAACCTATCAACACATTCCATGGGATCCATCAAAATGAAGATGAACCCATCCGTGTCAGCTACCACCGGAATATCCACTATAATTCAGTGGTGAATCCTAACAAGGCCACTATTGGTGTAGGGCTCGGCCTGCCATCATTTAAACCAGGGGTAAGTGGGTCCCTGTGCCATGGGTATTTTACAGAGTGTTGGTTCTGCCCTTAGCCCACAAAATGTCCTCTCTCCTCTTTGAGTCTCTCCTTAAGTCTCACCTGTATATAAAATTAGTTACTGTTGATCAGAACTCATTCTATGGTTTTGATTTGCCTGTCCATGAGTTGGCTCACTCATCTTATGCTTATTGAGAGTGGCCTCTTAGGATACCTTGTCCTGGGTAGCCAGGCTTGCACAACTTCATAGTAGTTAGAGACAGTTGGGGTCACGGTCCTGGTGTGTAGCCTTGACCCACATACAGCTTACTAGAATGGACCCTGAGGCAGATTGTATAGGTGGGGCCAATACTGAAAACACTTCCCATAGGCCTGAGACCTAGTAAGTGTCAGAAGATGGCATTTCATTTCCCCCCATCTCCTGGCAGAAATCATTCATTCTCATAGTCTCTTTCCTCTCATCTTCCCTATTCTTTCCTCCCTCCTTTCATCCTGTCCCTTGACCTTCCTTCTCCCACTTCTCCTAGATTGCTTTTCCTATTCCTAACCCTCCTTCCTCTCCTCCCCACCCCCTCTCCTCCTTACCCCCTCTCCTCCCCACCCCCTCTCCTCCCCACCCCCTCTCCTCCCTCTTTTCTGTCTTCACTCTATCCCCTCCTGGGGATTTTGAAATCCTCTATTCAAGTCTCACTTCCTTCGAACAGAAGGTGGTCCTGCCTCATCTTAAGAAACACACTAGCATTAACATACCCTCCAACCCTGGGGTTGGGGGAACCTGTTTTGCTTTTTAATAAATTGTAGAAAAGGTTTAGATTTGCAGAATGATTGTGAGACTATTAACGTTTCCACATGCCACATTATGATGAACGTTAATGGAGCACACTTGTCGTCATTAACAAATCAGTATTGATACATTAAGTAAAGACCACGCTTTATTCACATTTCCTCAGTTTCCTCCTGGTGAACCTTTTCTGTCCCAGGACACTATCTAACATTTAATTGTTCCCTTTGACTTCTTCTGGCTTTAACAAATTTTAAAGAATTTCATTGTTTTTTTTTATTTGTGGACCCATTGTATAGTTTTGTCTATTCTAGAATGCTATATATTGGGAATTATGCAATATGTATGTAGCTTTACCAAAATGACCCCCCCCACTCACACTTAATACTATTTAAGATTCATCTATAACTTTTCCTGGGTTGACTTTCCTTTTTTTAAAAAAAATGGAATGTTTAAAAGTTTCTCTAATTAATAGAATTAATTGTTGAAATTTTTTTACATTTATCTATTTCAGGTAGGGGTGTATGAAGGTCAAAGAACAACTTGTAGGAGTCAGTTATGCCTATGAGGTTTAAACTCACTCAGGTCATCAGGCTTGGCACAAGTGCCCTTACTCCCAGAACTATCTTGCCAACCTTCAGAATTGTTTTCTCATTACACAGAGTTTCCATCTAGTTCCTTCCTCCCAAGCCACAGAGACTCTGGTACATTTCTTATAGTGTTTGACGCAGTGGTAATACATTCCTATTAAGTTCCTGCCTCATTCCTTACTCTTGTTTTGATGACTTTGGCAATTTTTTATTATTTTTGTTGACTTTGGGAATTTAAAGGAGTACCATTTAAAGGTATTACAGGGAAATACTCTTTCTGAATGTTGTTATTATTTAAACCCAGATTTTGGGTTTGGGGAGGGAAAGCACTAAGATTAAGTGCCGTTCTCAGAACAATATATCGAGTGTATTTTAGGAATAAGATCGTGACTGTTGATGTTGTCTTTGATCATCTGACAGAAGTAGGATTAAGTTTCCCACCTTTTGAATACTGTATTGTTAATGAAGGAAATCACACTTAAGGAATGAGGATTATAGCTATCTCCCTGAATTTATGTTAACCTAAACACAGAGTTACTGCTGATGTCTCCAGTTAAAATTTCTCCATCACAGGCCTCTTTCTTGCCCCCTTTCCAGTTTTGAGTAAAATTCCCACTTTAAAGTTGAGAAAACTTTACCCACCACCCACCACTCATTTACATATACATCTATAAACTGGGGCAGACTCATTAACTGGACCCCCTGGAGTCCAGTGATAAGCCCAGTTCTTTTTATATTTAGAGTTACTGAGTCTATTCATTTCCTGAGTGCCTGAGGCCACCACCTGCTTGTCCTTGCATACATTTGTAAGGTGGTTTTTGTCCCTGGGAGCCTCACTTCTTATCTGATCTTTAAAAGGCGATTAGCATACATTAAGGATTAGTCTTTGTTTTGTAAAGTTCCTTGGGTTTTGACAGAGGCGTTACAACAAAGTGCATCTATTTTAGGCCCCTAATCATTCAAATAGTTTTAGCCCCTGAATGTTCCCCACTCTTTCCCCTTCAGCGACTGATTCTTTATTGACTCTGTTTTTCCCTATTTCAGAAAGTCACATAATTGGAATCATAGTATGTAGCCTTTTCAAATGCTGCTTTCAGGTAGCAGTATGCATTAAACTTCCATGTTTTTTCATGGCTTGTTAGCTATTTTCTTATCTCTGTTCCATTTGTGGAGGCACACGGTTTGTTTAATCATTCACCTATTGAAAGATATCCTTGGTTGCTTCCAGGTTTAGATGATTATTAATAAAGCTTCTGCAAACTGCTGTGTGCAGGTTTTTGTGGGAACTTAAATTTTATGTTTAGTTGTATTACAACTTGAAGCAGGATTTCAGAATTTAAAAACTATACTATGATTTGTAAGGAACTGCTAGGCTTTGTATGAAGTGGACTGATTTTTTGTGTGTGTGTGTGTGTGTTTGTGTGTTTATCACAATGAATGAAAGTTCACTTTCCCAGGAATTGATCTTCCTACTTGTTAAGTTGGGAGCGTAGACCCCAGCCCCTTGCATCTATCCCAGCCCCCAGGCCTGAGAGTTGTATTGATCTAGACTCCAAATCCCAGCAGGCCAGGTCCTGACCCCCCCAGGTCCTGACCCACTCCCACAGATTATTTAAGTGAACTCCCAAAAGAGGAACACGTGGTCTCTTTTCTTTCCTTCTGGTGGTCCTTTTTGTGGCGTCCCGGTTCCCCCTGGGGCCACCTGAGAGTGAAGGACTCCCATTAAACCTGGATATTTTTTAATTTGGCTTGTTTTGATTTGGCTTGATTGAGAATTTGCATCAGCAGAGAGTTCATGTTAGGAAAAATTCCTAACACTACTTTTTTGTATTTTAGCCATTTTTGAAAGTTTTAGGTTTATTTGAATTGGTAACAATGTGTTGAACATTGTTTTAGTGCTCTACCCCTGAGCTATACCCAGCCTGAGTGTCTCTTAACATGTCCACTTACCATCTCTGTATCTTTCTCTGTGGTTAGATTGCTTACCTACTTTCATTTTTGTCATTTTGCAGTGCTGGGAATTGAATCCATGTTTTGTTGTTGTTGTTGTGTTTCAATACAGGGTTTCTCTGTGTTTTTGAAGCCTGTCCTAGAACTCACTCTGTAGACCAGGCTGGCCTCAATCTAACATTTCCATACATACATTCACCCTAGTATGCTACATGACAGAAAAATATGTTGTACATGCATTTATGTATTTGTGTGTGTGTGTGTGTGTGTGTGTGTGTGTGTGTGTGTGTGTGTGTGAGGAGGGGGGGAGGGAAAGAGAGAGGCTTGCTAGGGCATGGTGGAACGTGCCTCAAATCCTAGTACTCCAGAGGCAGAGAAAGGAGAATTGTGAATTCAAAGCTAATCTGGACTGCATACCAAAGCCATTGTTTTTGGGGAAAAAGAACATTAACTAAAACTTTATGAAGCAGTATTTACACTTAATCCCTGAAATATACTTTGATGTTCTCTATTATTTCATTAGTGTCACATCGCTGGATGTGGTGGCTCACGCCTGTAATCCCAGCACTTGGGAGGCTGAAGCAGGAGGATTGCCATGAATTCCAGGCCAGCTTGGCCTACATAGTGAGTTCAAGATCAGACTGGGCCATGTAGCAAGACCCTGTCTCAACAAACAAACAAATAATGCTGTAGTGTCTTAAAACTTGGCATGAAGTTCTCTCATACAGTGTCCTAGCACCCACACCATGCCGATACTGACCCTCCATCCCCTCACATAGCCACACCCAGCCTCATATATGCTTGACTCCTGCCTCCACTCCATGTCTGTCTGTACAGTTCACTTCTCTGTTCATCTCTTTCCTTTGCCCTGTGAATATTTGAGAAAGGCTTCAGCATTGTGAAATAGAGCCGTTACTAGGTGAGGCTTCTTTATATTAAGGCCTAGACTGAAGAGCCCCTTTAATCCCCAGACTTAGTGCTTCGCTTGAGGTGTCTTGGGGTTGGGCCAGCATTTCTGACCATAGGAATTCAGAATGTCAGGTCTTATAATCTAGGCCTGCTTTCCTCCAGTTACCAATCTGTACAATCTGCTGAGGAGTACTTTGTAAAAATAACTTTTCTTGTGTTGTTTTTACTAAGGCCTGTAAGCCTACCTTCCTGAGCCCATTCAGGCTCTTGCCCAGGTTCAGAGCATCACCCCACATCCCTGTTCCTCTCCTGGCAGTTTGCAGAACAGTCCCTGATGAAGAATGCCATAAAGACATCAGAGGAATCATGGATTGAACAACAAATGTTGGAAGACAAGAAACGAGCTACAGACTGGGAGGCCACAAATGAGGCCATAGAGGAGCAGGTGGCTCGAGAATCCTACCTGCAATGGCTGAGGGATCAGGAGAAACAGGCCCGCCAGGTCCGGGGACCCAGCCAGGTGGGTCATGGACTCTGTGACTGGCCTGACCAAGACCTGTTACTTCTTTTTTTTTTTGGATTTTTTTTCGAGACAGGGTTTCTCCGTAGCTTTTGGTTCCTGTCCTGGAACTAGCTCTTGTAGACCAGGCTGGCCTCGAACTCACAGAGATCCGCCTGCCTCCGCCTCCCGAGTGCTGGGATTAAAGGCGTGCGCCACCACCGCCCGGCAAGACCTGTTACTTCTTATCTTTTGGCCCCTAATGAACAGGGATAAAATATGGGAGAGGGAAGCTCCCAGCCCCATCGGTTACTCATCTCGTCTTTAGTCTTGGCATCGTACCTTGGAACTCTCAACACTTGCTTTTAAGAAGTAAAGGAGAGCAGCTTTTAAGAAACAAAGGAGAGCAGCCACCACTGCTGGTGGCACAAAGGAACAATGGGTAGCTACAAAGAGACCAGCTTTTTTTTTGGAAACCCTTTGCATGCTGCCTTCTGTACTGAGGATGTAAAACCTTTTCCTTCACTGCCTTCAATGATCCTGTCTGTCGAGGAAGACAAGGCATTGTGGTGGGGCCAGTGACCCTGGCTGTACAAAACCAGGAGGAGTGGTGGTTTTAACCAGTTGCTTTATTAGGGTGGGGAGGGGGAAGGCAGGCATCTGAGGAGGATTAGACGTTTGCAAGAGCTAAATAATCTGTTCAGCAAGTATTTATTGTAGGCCTGTGCCAGGAAGCTGGAGGTCCTATTCCTAGTGTAGCAGGATATGTTTGTGGCCCTAGCAGGCAAGATCTCTGTCCTTAGGCTGCTCGCTTTTTCAAAGTGAAATAAAATAATCATAATGAATAAATTAGTTGGAGGTATGGTAGATGAAAAATGGACAGTTGGTACAGGGGAAGAATGAGACTTGAGTGGGGCTGGTTTGAGTTTGCAGTATTAAACAGTTACGAGGTAGACCTCATCAGATGAGATGAGAAAGGGCTGTGTTAGTTGAGTATGTGAACAGAGCAAAGCCTGGGGTGGGGGCGCCATACTTGGTATAACTCAGACATAGCCTGGAGCTGAACAGAATGTATTGGGTGAAATCAAGGCAGTGGGACTAGGTTGGATAGGGGCTTGTGAACTCTGGAGAAGACTGATTTTACTCTGAATGAGGCAGAAACAGTGAAAAGGAAAAAGGATTGGATGTGAGTTAGGACGTAGCAAGATCACCTGACTACTGAGTAAAACAGTCTAAGCTAGAAAGCAAGGGTAGAAGTAGGAGACCAGTGAGGAGCAGCCTACTGGGTAGTTCATGGTGAAGGTACTGTGGTTGTGGTGTGGGGTCAGGATCTCTTGAAAAAAGAGTAGTGATTTTTCTCAGTAGCCTCCAAAGATTCGGTAGTGGTTAGGACTTTGCCTCTATTCCATTGCGGCACATTAAAGCTGTACTGTAGCCAGGACTCTGGAAGGGGTCTAAGCACTCTGGCACAGGAGGATCATAGCTGGGGTAGGTCCTTATCACGTTTTCCTTCCCTACTGCAGCCCCGGAAAGCCAGTGCCACATGCAGTTCAGCCATAGCTGCAGCCTCCAGTGGCCTGGAGGAATGGACTAGTCGGTCTCCAAGGCAACGAACTTCGTCACCCGAGCACCCTGAACTGCATGCTGAGCTAGGCATTAAGCCCCCTTCCCCAAGCACTGTGTTAGCTCTTGCCAAACCTCCTTCACCCTGTGCACCAGGTCAGTGACTTGCTCTCAGGGTGCCTGCTTGGGCTAAGGCTCTGCTTGGTGGGCCCTACCTCAGACTGTTCATCTGCCTCAGGTACAAGCAGTCAGTTCTCATCAGGGGCTGACCGGGCCACATCTCCCCTAGTGTCCCTCTACCCTGCTCTGGAGTGCCGGGCCCTCATCCAGCAGATGTCCCCCTCTGCCTTTGGTAAGCCTCCTTAGGGGATGGGCCAGCTGGAAGCTGGGAGAGCCTGGAGGATTTTTGAAGCTCCTGGGCATCTTCCCAAATGAGAGGCATGAGGGAAAATTTCAGGCCCAAAAGGTTTTCTCCACAGGGTTCTAGTGGGGTTTCACAGAGTTAAGGGAGCCGATGAGTGATTGGTACCTGGGTGGATTTTCCAGAGCCAGGGATTAGATAGGCATGAGGGAGAATGGGCTGAGGACCCCAGTCATCATTGTCCTCTTCTCTCTCCTGCCCAGCAGGTCTGAACGATTGGGATGATGACGAGATCTTAGCATCGGTGCTGGCAGTGTCCCAACAGGAATACCTAGACAGTATGAAGAAAAACAAAGTGCACAGAGACCCACCCCCAGACAAGAGTTGATGGAGACCCAGGGACTGGACACAATCCCCTGACCCCCACCCCTCCACTCCTGCCCTTTGATGCCACCCAGCCTTCTTTGGCTTTCTTCCCTCTTGGCTTCCTTCGTTCATTTCCTTATCCTTCTTTTCCACTCCCCTCTGGCTGGCCCACTTATGCGCTCCATCCATCTCATCCCTGCCACCACCACAGTGGTCTCTGCCAGCTGATGTGCTCTGTTGCCCCCCTGCACAGCACCATCTCAGCATTCCACAGGGGACTCTGGAAAGGGTGCCGAAGGTAGGCGAGAGGCACACAGAGACAGACCATGTGGCATCCAGGCAGCCCCCGAAAAGAGAGACACTGAGACAAAGGGAGTCTTCTGCTCGCCCTTCCCTACAGATCAGAAAACTTGCCGCACCTCTGCCATAGTGGTGACAGGAAAGGCAGGAGTGGGAAATTTTCCTTCGTAGTACCCCAAAAATCTGAGCCTTCCATATTAAATTTTTCTTTATAAAATGTACTTTTATCTTATAAAATCAAGAACCGTGTTCGTGGCAACACTGGCTCCTTGACGATGGTATCTCCGGTTTGGAGACAGTCAAGCTGGCCATGGGGCATTGTGGGCAGGCAAAGAGTTGAATTTCTGCTGTCTTCTGGCCTCCAGCTCTTTGGAGGGGTTGAGGATATGAGCCAGAGGAACGTGGCAGGGTTGCAGTGGCAGACTGGCTTTGGACAATGAACCCTGACCTTGCTGCAGGGACTTTGCTGACCTTTGAACTCTTGAGGTGGGGTTATCTTTGGAGATCATGGCTGCTACTCAAGATTTGAGTTTAGGGAGTTGGAGCAGCCTCCACAGGTGGGGCGCCTGTGCCCTGCAGGTGTTGACAAGATCCACCATCTGTATTGTCCTTGGCACAATAAAACCAAATGTCAGTTTCCCTGAGCAACTCTGTTCTGTATGGGGCAGGGGTGGATGGGCCTCTGGGAAGCACAGAGTTTGGCTTGCCCTGAGTTCTACTTGTTCTCCAGTAGGTGCTGTCTGTAGGCTGGGGTTCATCTTTGATCTGTTTATTAAATTAACTTCTTGCCAGGTGCAATGTATGTAGAGCCTAGGTAGTTGAAACTAACGTAGGCCACATAACCAGGATTCTGTTTAACAGAACCAGCAACAAGAAACCTCTTCTAGAACTGGGTCACGCCTTTGATCCCAACACTGGGGAGTCAGAGGCAGGTGGATCTATGACTTTCAGGCCAGCCTGATCTACATAGTAGAGTTGCAGGCTGGCCGGGCTACACAATGAGATGCTTTTCTCAAAAATCATAAACTTCCTCAGTAGCAAATCTACTTTGAAGCCCTTACTCCCACCTAACCAAATTTCTAAATGGGAGCCTAGGGATAATTATGGACTGTGTTTGAGCTAAAGGCCATGACTAAATTTTGTTTGAATTTCCACTCTCAACCTTAATGTTCATTCTTGTGATAATCTATGAAGAAATAAAAACAGTTGACAACAAGCTATGTGAGTTTAGTGAAAGTGACCAGAGGTGGCCTCTGCCTGACTGGGTTTCATAAGCTGGAGAATGAAGTGGCTAAATCCTTTTTTATTGTTTTCTTCCAAATTCTATTGACACCTCTGTCCATCCCTCCTAGGGTTTGTAAAGCCCAGGTTGAGAAGGCTGGCTGACCTTCAGATTTTCTCAAAACAGTATTCTCCCCAGCATGCCTCAGTGGGGTCCTTGCAGAAGGCTGTGTGTGGTGGCCCCACAGGTGAGGGTATGGTTTGCCCAGTGGGCGGCTGCAGGGTATCTGAAATACATGGTCAAGCATGAGCACGCCAAGGAGGTTGATTTAAAATCTATCTGCATTTTCTAGCTGTGTGGCTTTGGGCTCTCTTTGAGTTTAAAGTGCCCCATCTGCAACTACAGGGGTGATTAATGTCTGCTACCTCATGCTCTCTGATTTGTGAGTATTGACAGAGAATGTGTATGGTCAATAATGTACTACTGGGCACAGTACCTGGTACATTCTTAGAGCACAAATGTTGGGGTTATTAACAGACTTGGGGTGGGGGTATTACCGTATTTTGTAAGTTTGTACCATTTGGCCTCAGCCTGCCTCTTGCTATTCTTGGCTTTTTCTTGCAATTTGCTCTAACCTATCTTCAGCTACCAACCTTATTTGTCTTTTAAGACAGAGGGGTCACCTGAGAAACCCCTGTGTGATCGATCTCACATGGTGGCATGCAAATAAGGACTGGCTCCGATTGGCCGGGGTACAGCAGGTGCCGTGTCCGGATTGATCAAAGCCAGGTGGGCGGGGCTGTCGCGCAGGGCGACTCTCCGGGAGGCGCGTGCCCCAGTGCCCCGGCTCAGTAGCGTTGGGGCTGGCGCGCGCGACGAATCTTTACGCCGCGCAGTCTGCGGGCGCTTCCGGGCCACCAGATTCCCTACCTTCCACCCTGGCACCCCCCAGCCCTGGCTCTCCAGCCGCTCTGCCCCGGGCATCCACGCCCTGCGGGCTCAGCGGATTCAGCGGGCTCAATCTACGCAGCTCCTCCTCCATGTTGACCAAGCCTCTGCAGGGGCTTCCTTCGCCCCCTGTAACCCCCACGCAGCCTCCAGGTGAGCGCAATCTCCCCTGTCACAAGCAGGTTGGGAGGACTGGAATGATGGGTGTCGGTGTGGGGGCGAGAGTCACGGCTGGGATCAGAGTACACCGCCACCCTGATTTCCTCGCCTCCGCTTGCGTAGGTGGCAAGAATCGGGCAGCTTTCGAGGCCGAATACCGACTTGGCCCCCTCCTGGGTAAGGGAGGCTTTGGCACCGTCTTCGCGGGACACCGCGTCACGGATAGACGTCAGGTATCCCCTAGAGGGGTTCTGGGAGGGTAAGGTGTTTTGGCGAAGGGTGGTGGTGGGGGAACGGAGATGCCACTTGTTCCAGTGGGGAGCTTGCAAATGTGTAGTAGAATCATAAGGAGCAGGGTTGCTGTCTGAGTCTATGTGTGTGAATGTGTGAGTGCGCACGTGTGTCTGGAGTTCAGGTGGGTATGGGGGTGGGCTGAAATTCTGGAAGACTGGGCATTTATACTGGGAAGGGGGCAGATCTTCAGGACTGGACCCCAAGATCCATGGTATTTGCGTGCGTGCGTTCATGCGTGTGTGTTTGTGTGTGTGTGTGTGCGCGCGCGCGAGTGTACATGTTGGGGGGGAAGTGGGGATTTTTTTGAGTAGGTGTTAAGAGTGGAGTCGTGAAAACAAGAATCCAGATACATAGTTGTTGTGTCCTGGAGATGGGTAGAATTATGGAGGAGGGCTTGCGATGTCAAAAAACTTAGAATTTGAATGTGGGGATATGGGTCAATGGTGGGTCGTTTGTCCATCATTCACAAACACTGAGTTCAACACCAGCGTCACAGGGTGGGGGATGTAGGGAGACAGTGGGAAAGAGAAAACAAAAGAAAAAATACAGCTCCATTCTGGATTTCAGGGGGTCTTGATGCTTTCCCGACAAGAGCTCAGGAGTAAAGATGCTAGCTGGATGGAGTTAACACGATTCTGGGGCCTTCAGAGTACTGGATAGGCATCCCAGCTCCAGTGGGTGTGATACGTATGGGAACTAGAAATACTAGAGTGGAGAGACTGGAATTGGGCAGAGGGTCTAGACTGAGAAGAGTCTGGGATCACCGGCTGGCCCCCTTATCTCAGTATTTTTTCTAGGTGGCCATCAAAGTAATCTCCCGGAACCGTGTGCTAGGCTGGTCCACCGTGGTGAGTGTCTTTGGTGTACGTCATGACCCGTGGACTCCATCACCGAACTCACCCCCTGATTTTTTCTAGGGGATGTATTATTCCCTGGGCCCTGAAACCGTGAGAACCTCACCAACCTGTGTTTACTGCCTTTATGTGATAGTTCTGATTTCACCTCAATTTGCCCAGAGCTCTGGATTCTCCTCTCAAACTCTCCTTTTGCATCTTTCTTCCAAACAATGCTTCTGGGGCTGTTCACAAGACATGCTGGTGGGGAAGGAGGGGCCTAGGTCACTGGTTGTCATGGTAATGCTGGCTGCTGCCTCTGCCACCCGGAGAAAGCTAACGGACATCAGGGCGGGTCTGGGCAAATTGTAGGTGAGAGCTCCCCCTGGCGGGCATTTCAGACAGTCTATGCCGGCCCTGGGACGGAGAAGGGAGGGAGGGCGAGCCTGCGCAGTAGCCGAAGAATTTGCGTCTCCCTGAGAAAACCTGTCTGTGACTGTGCAAGTTAGTGGGCCTGTAATGGACCTCACCTGAGGCAACAAGACCCTTGGCACTGTCTGTATAGGTGTAGGGGGTGGTGTTATTGAGTTGTGCTAGTTGAACTGACAAAACGTCGCGTTCATTGAGTGTTTGCTCTGTGCCAGGTCCTTAGCAGTTAATCACTGTAAACTGTTTTTAACAAATGAAAGCCAGGATTGGTGGTGCATACCTGTAATCCCAACATTCAAGAGGCTGTGACACTAGGATTTCTGAGGATTTTTTTTTCTTTTCTTTTTCTTTATTTCTTTCTTTCTTTTTTTTTAAATTTATTTTCGAGACAGGGTTTCTCTGTAGTTTGTGGTGCCCGTCCTGGAACTAGCTCTTGTAGAGCAAGTTGGCCTCGAACTCACAGAAATACACCTGCCTCTACCTCCTGAGTGCTGGGATTAAAGGCGTGCACCACCACCCGGCGATTTCCGTGAATTTGAGGCCAGTTTGGGCTACATGGCAAGATCCTGTCTCAAAAATGAGACAATTTTAAAGCCAGAGAACATCTATGCAGTGACATAATTATAGGCACTTTGCAAAGTACGACATTTATTCGAATTCAGTAGGTACTAGATCTCTTCTTCTAACTGCTCTGTCCATCTCGCGTATTGAGTCTTTCAACACTTATACAATAATAGTAGTTAATTACTTTTCATTGCTAGCCTCTTTCCTGTAAAGTACTTCCATTTAGAAACATTCATAGAGTTATCTAGTGTGCAGAAAAACTGCCCTGATCTGGATGTTGGCTAATAAGACAGGTAAATAGATCCCATGATAGTTCTTATGCAGAGGGACTTAAATTTTAAATTTGAAGGCCAGGCATGGTGGTGCACACTTTAATCCCAGCACTCTGGAGGTAAAAGCAGGTGGATCTCTTGAGTTCCAGGCCAGCTTGGTCTATGTAGAGATCCTGTCTCAAACCCCATTCCCCCCCCCAAAGAAAACACTTTAACTTATTCAAATATTTACTGAGCTGCTACATGCCAGATGTATATGGCTTCTGCTCATTTCACTCTGATGGATTTGAGCCTTTGAAAGGATACTGAGAGGTCTGGCTTGCCAAAGGTCAAAAACCAGTGCTCTGAAAATAAACTGCTATATTGACAGTAGAGCTCAGACTTACCATCTACCTTCTTTTTTTTTCTTTTCACTTCCC